AGGGACAGAACCAAGCACGGTGGCACACACCTATAGTATCAGCCTGTGGGAGACTTAGGCTGGATGATTGTGAGCTCAAGGCGTCTGGACTACACAGCAAGCAAAATCTTGTCTCAAAAAAACCAAAACAGAAAGGCGGGGATGCAGCCCTGCTTACGTGAGTCCTTATGAATGTAACTCTGCATTTCATATACTTTGCTTCCTCCAAGACACCTTTTATGATCGTCTTGAACTCTCCTTTCATCCCACCCCATTCACGTCCAGTTCATCTGCAAATACCGCAGGCTCCACCTTCACAAAATGGAATCTACCATTTCCAACCATCACCAAGGTTGCCACCCTGGTCTAAACCCCTGCCATCTTTCACCTGGGTGACTGCAGTGGTTTTGTAACTGCCCCTTTGCCCTAGGGGTCCTCACTGATGGTCCACTGCCTCTCCCCTCCTTAGTCTATCCACTCTATAGAAGCCAGAGCCCGCCTGTTAAAATACAAGCCAAATCATGTCACTTCTGTACCTTAAAATCCAACAGTGGCCAGGCACGGGGGCACACTCCTGTAATCCCAGCACTTGAGAGGCTCAGGCAGGAGGATCGCCATGAGTTTCAGGCCAGCCTGCATTACATAGTTCAAGAGAGCCTCAACTGCAGACCTAGATGGTCTCAGGAAAGCAAAAATGAAAACAAAACATTAGAATTGGTAAGGCTAACAATGTGGGAACAGAGCGTCTGCCTAGCATGTTCAAGGCCCTGAGTTTGACCCTCAGCACTGCAAAGAAAACAACAAGCTGGGCGAGGTGGCGCACGCCTGTAATCGCAGCACCCCGGGTGCTGAGGCAGGAGGATCGCCAAGAGTTCAGAGGCCAGACTGGGCTCCATAGTGGGTTCAAGGCCTGCCTGAACTGCATAGTGAGACCCTGTCTCGAAAACAAATAGACAAACGACAACCCCAATATAACAGAAAGCTAGCAACAATAGTGACAAAAGGAAAACACATTTAAATTGGTTAACTAAATAAGATTGCTTTCCTCAATGTAAACGGACCTCATACAATTCCTTAATGGCCTCAATACAATAAAAGGCTGACAAGAAAGAATTCTCTTGCCTTTGAACTCTTTAGAAATTTTAATGTAATGCAAGTAGATACTCATAAAGAAAATACAAAAAGCACTCTTCTATGAAAAAATAAAAAATTTCATTAACAAAATAATTAAAGAATAACAATGGTTAACATACTGTATATCATTATCTTGAAAGAATGGCCAAGCTGGGCGTAGGGGCACACGCCTGTAATCTCAGTGCTCAGGAGGCAGAGGCAGGCGGATCGTTGCGAGTTTGAGACCAGCCTGGGTTACAAAGTGAGCTCAAGGCCAACCAGAACTGCATAGCGAGACCCTGTCTCAAAAAGAGCCCCTCCCAGCTGGGGATTTAGCTCAGCGGCACAGCGCCTGCCCAGCAAGCGCAAGGTCGTGAGTTCGATCCCTGGTACCGGAAAAAAAAAAAAAACCCCCAAAAAAAAAAAAAGAGCCCCTCCCCCCAAAAAAAGAATGGCCAAAATGTTACTCAGAGTACAAGTCATAGACAAAGAGTTTCTTACAAAAAATAAACAGAAGGACAAAACTTTCTTTTCAAGACAACCCACAGAGTGGGGAAAAAATTTTCATTAGTTGTCCTTCGGACAAGGGATTAATATGTAGAATATATAAGGAATTGAAAAAAATCAGAGTCTCCCCAAATTAAAGATCCAACCCCAAAATGGCCATCTGAGATGAATATACACTTCTCAGGTGGAGAAATACAAATGGCAAATAAGTATATGAAAAAATGTTCAGCATCTCTGGTCATTCAAGAGATGCAAATTAAAACAACAGTGAGATTCCATCTCCAGAAAGAATGGCTGCCATCAAGAAATCAATAACAAATGCTGGTGGGGCTGTGGGGAAGAAGAAACCCTTCTCTACTGTTGGTGGGAGTGTAGACTGCTACAACTACTGTGGAAATCAGTGTGGTGATTCTTCAAAAAACTAAAAGTAGAGGTCCTATTCGACCCAACTATTCCCATTCTTGGTATCTTCTAGAAAGAATTGACAGCATCATACAACAGCGATATATGTACACCCATGTTTATAGTGGCACAATTTATAATAGCTAAATCTTGGAAACAACCAAAAGCTCATCAACTGACAAATGGATAAAAATGATGTGGTTTTTAATACAATGGAATACTACTCAGCCATAAAGAAGGATAAACTTGGATATTTCTAGGTAAATAGATGCACCTTGAGACCATACTCTTAAGTGAAATAAATCAGACACATGTAAATATTGCATAGTTTCTCTGGCGTGAGTAAACAAAAGTGTAAATAAGGACCAAAGTGTATAATAGGCATTGTGAAATAGGAAGAAATGGTTCAAAAGAAAGGGAACTAGGGATGGGGGAGGGGGAGAGGAAGGGAAAAGAAAAAAGGAAAAAAGGGTAAAATGGAAACAGCTTTGCTGTATATAAACTGCCCTGAGTCTCCGGCTAGTAAACTGCAGATTTTCTTCTCAGCCTCCAGTATCATGAGCCAGTTTCTTCCAGTTTGAATTATTTTTTTAATTTATTGCCCCCTCCAGGTAAATTTAGGGTGGGTCGGCTATACCCAGGCATGCTGGTGCACTCCTGTAATCCCAGCATTCTGAGAGGCGGTGGAAGGAAGAGTCCACGTTTGAGCTCCTCCTGGGCAATTTAGCAAGCCCCTGTCTCAAAACTAAAAGAAGAAGGGTTAAGGATGTACCTCAGTGAGAAGACCCTGGGTTAAATCCCCAGCACCACGCCTTGTGCACACACACACAAAGGTAAACTGCACAGGGCAGGGGTTCTTGTGTTTTCTCTGCTATAGCCTCAGCATTTTATATATATGGAGAGAGAGAGGGAGACGGCGGGAGAGGGGGATTATTCATAAATACTGACTGAGTGAATGGTGACCCTCTTGACTCTACCGTGTCTCTGTGTCTGGCTCGGCCACCACCAAGCGGCCCGGTAAACCTCGAATGCAAAGCCTTGACACGCCCCCTCCAGAAGAACGTCAGAGCTTCCCGAGCAAGGACACAGGCCTCCTTGGTTTGTAGTCCAGCAAGACGGCCACCTCTGCTTCCCTACCCTTCTCTGCAACCCCAGTCCTTGCAGGGCCCCTGCCTGCCGTGCCCACCCCCGTCCCTCAGTCTGACGTTCCGGAAGGGCCATAGCGATGGGCGGGCAGGACCCACCGGCTCGGTGATGCAGGAGATCGGGGGTGGAGGGGTGGGAGCGTGGGAGGGGGGCAGGGTACCGAGAAGTAAGGAGGCCGCCGTCTCTTCAGCCTCCACCTCTCTGAGCCTCGATTTCCCGTCAGTGACATAGAAATAATAACCTGTATGCAGCTGTTGTGGGCCTGAAGTGAGCTAATGGCCTGAACAGTTTGTAAACTGTCTGGCGAGGGCCAAGGGCCGGCTGTTGTCACAATGACTGTCATTACAACTATTCTTTGTCGTGGCATTGTCTCCTGGACTTCTCTCTGCCTTTTGGCAGCCTGCCAGGTTCCCCGCTGCAGGAGCCAGGTTCCTGCTGGCCCTCCTTTCTACAGTGCAAAAATCACCGCCCCTGGGGTACCTTTTAGGGACAAGGCCCACAGAGACGTGGCCAGCTCATTCTGACGGGGCCCAACCACTGATTAAATTATATGCACTGCTTTTCGGTCATTCAGATTGTCTGGGACAAGGCCAGCTGGAATTAGTGACAAATCTGAAGCAGAGAACATTGACAAAGGCTGCTTCATTGCCGGTGATGACTCACGATAATTCAAAGGCGATAATTTAAAAGCGGCTCCCTGGGTCAAGGAGAGCTTTAGTTAGTGAATAGGTAAGACTTTTTGCTAATTATTTGGATAGACACAGACCTCAAGCCCTTAAAATCAGTTTTGTTCCCTTCAGGGAGTTGAAAAATAACCCTTCCTTCTCCAAAGCCTTTTTCTCTTTCCAAATCTGAAATGCTTACTGGGGAAGAAGGTTTTGAAAACGAGAAAACCTCTCCCTCCCCCTCAAGCCCAGGCTGGCCTGAAAGCAATCCTCCTGCCTCAGCCTCTGGACTGCTGGAACTACTGGCATGCACCATCATGCCCAGTTCTATGCTGTTTTTTTTTTTTTCATAGGGTCTCCCAGTGCAGTCCAGGCTGGCCTCAATCTTGTGGTGATCCTCCTGACTCAGCTGCCCAAGTGCACTTTTTTTGTAATTTAAAAAATTTTTCTTAGTACATGTTTGCAGTACTTAATGATTACATTCATTGTGGGCAGCTGGTACGTGAACATAACACATATTAATTCTTTTTACTTGCCCTAATTTCACTTTTAAATTGTGATTGGGGCTCTAAAGGAAATAAACAGGATTAGGGTTAGGGCAGGTCACAGAAGAGGTGGCTGAGATACGAATTGTGAGGAGCCAGCCATGTTAAGATTTTAGGGCAGCTGGATGTGATGACACATTTCTGTAATTCCAGCATTCTGGAGGCTGAGGCAGGAGGATCTCTGCTAGTTGAGGGTTAGCCTGGGCTACTCAGAGAGACTGTCTCAAAAAAAGAAAAGAATAAGATTTTAAGGGAAAGTGTTTCTGGCAGAGGAGACAACAGATGTAAATACTGAGTGCTGGAAATGGTCTTGGGTTGTTCAAAGACTGGAAAGAAAGCCAACATGGCTGAAGTAAAATGAACAGACAGGGTGAGATTTGGAAGGGCAGGCCACGGAGGGGTTCTGTAGGCTGCAGTAAGGAGTTTGCATAGTGTTTCTTGTGTACTGTGAATGTAAGGAAAGGTTGTAAGCAACAGATATATGTGTATATATAGAGAGACAGAGAGACAGAGACAAAGACAGAGAGACAGAGAGTCCACCAAAAAAATGTGTACGTACTGCAGGAAAAGAACAACAGTATGATGTTTTTCAACAGATGGCGTTACCTTTTTAATGTGACCCTAGAGAGGGTCGTGTCGCAAAGAGCCCACGACACGGCTGGTCCTTAGAGAAGAAACTGAAAATGCAAGTGCAGCAGTCTCCATGACCAAGGTTGTCCAAGCGGCAGATCACCGTGCTAATAAATGTCTGGAAGCTAATGGCCACCACTCTGAGCACCTCCTGTAATTGTAGAGGCCAAAGGTAACTTGTATTAATCTCATGATGTCTCCACAAACTTAGTATAAAAATATGTATACAACTTTTTCTTCTCCTGAAGTGTGTATACATTTTTTGGCAGACTCTGTCTATGTCTAGGTGTAGGTCTAGCTCTAGCTCTAGGTCTGTGTCTGTGTGTCTGTGTCTATGTCTGTATCTGTCTATGTCTATGTATCTGTGTCCGTGTCTATTCTGTGGGGGAGATGTAGCTCATTGTGAAGGCTCTGTGTTCAATCTCCAGTATAAGAAAGAAACAAAGAGAAACGAGAGAAAAGAAGGAAGGAAGGAAGGAAGGAAGGGAGAGGGGGAGGGAGAGGGGGAGAGAGAGAGAGAGAGACAGAGAGAGAGAGAGAGAGAGAGAGAGAGAGAGAGAGAGGGAGGGGGAGAGAGAGAGAGAGAGAGAGAGAGAGAGAGAGAGAGAGAGAGAGAGAGAGAGAGAGAGGGAGGAAGAAAGGAACGGAAGGAAGGAGAAGAAGGAAAGTCTTTTCCTACCTCTACCCCATAGTTTTCACTTGTAAGACCTGACCGCCGCCTGGCCCATCCCTCCCACCTAGAGATGATGGGTCAGAGGGACGTTTTCTCTGTTGGAGCGCGCCCCGTCCTAGGCACAGGGGCGGGCCTGTATCCCCTCCTGGCCACTCTCCTCAGGCTGCTCACCTCTCCCCGGCAAGGACAATCACTGTGTGGCATCCTGGGCAGCTACTTACTTACCAGGCACGAGTCCTGGTGTCGTTGAGTCTGCCACCTGCTCGCTATGTGTCCTGTTTGTGGCAGCTGGTAAAGCACAACATCCTGCTGGTGTGGGGGAAGCAGATGATCACGGAGGCTCTTTCCATCGAGAGCGGTCTGGAGGGTGTGGTTCTGGGAGCAGCGGGGCTTGCCTGGAGAGGCCCTCTCTGCTCCTGGACCCTTCATGCGCTCCAGACACCCTGGTAACATGTGTCTGCCCCTCTCTGAGCCTTCAGAGGCCTAGGCTGGCCAAGGCCCCCCAGCTGTGTTGCTCAAACCCTGTCCTCTTCTTCCTTCCCCTTCTTACCCCCTTTCTTCATTTTGTTTTGTTTTAGGGCTTTTTTGTCTTTTTTTTTTTTTTTTTTTTTTCTTTTTGAGACAGGGTCTCACTGTGCAGTTCAGACTGACCTTGAACTCAGTTTGTAGCCCAGGCTGGCCTCAGACTTGCAACCATCCTCCTGCCTCAGCCTCCTGAGTGCTGGGATTACAGGCATGCACCACCATGCCCCGCATGTTTTGCTTTGTTTTTGAGGTTCCTTACTTTGAATCCAGGGAGTGCTGAGCTACATCCCTAGCCCTATTTATTTAGTGGTATCAAGGATTGAACCTAGGGCCTTCACACTAAGCTATATCCCCAGCCTACTTTTTAGTCTTCTGAAATTCTAAATTTCCCAGGCTGAGCTAGAACTTGTGACCCTCCTGCCTCAGCCTCCAGAGCAGCTGGAATTACAGTGTGAGCCACTGTGCTCAGCCATCCTTCCCTTCTTGATGAATTTGAACAAAATATCCCATGAGGGTCCCTAGGTTCTTTATGCTCAGAGCAGATGGCTAGCAAGCCATTCTCTGGGACATTCAGTTCCCAAATCAGATCTGGGCAGGAGGCCAAGGCCTTTGAAGGGCTGTAGAAAAACTTACCCTCATTCCCTCTACCTCCCCCGATCAGCCCTAGCAGCTTGCAGTTTTCCCTGCTGTCTTGTTTACTGCCAGTGCACATGAGGAAAGGACCATAGGTGTCAAGATCAGGGGCCTGCTTGGACTCTTAGGGGGCCCTGAGGAGAAGCCTGGGTTCCAGCTTTTGGGAAAGGTACCCACAGTGTGTAGGGAAAGTTTCTCTGCTGCCGGAGGAGAGAATTTGGGAGGAGGAGGAGAGGAGGAGGAGGAGAATGCGGGAGCTCAGTACTGTACAGTGTCATGGGAGCCCCAAGAACTGTCTTTGAGCTGGGGAGCAAGAATATGCAGGGCATCTGGAGAGTCCAACACGAGGCGCTGGCTGACACTATCCACTCACAGACGAGCATGGGTGGCTTTGTACCGGGGCAAGACTTGGCAAGGGAATAGAAGAGGGGTGTTCTTGGCTGTAACTCAGAGTCTTCTGTGCTACTTCCAGGTCCCTCCTAGGCAGGTGTAAGAGGGAGACAGGAAGCTGTGCACGGTAGCGCACGTCTGTAAACCCAGCACTCTGGGAGGCTGAGGTAGGACGATTACACATCTGAGCCCAGTCTGGACACCTTAGTGACTTAGTAAGACCCCGTCTCAAAAATAAAGAATAGAGCCGGGCGTGGTGGTGTACACCTGTAATCCCAGCACTCAGGAGGCTGAGGCAGGAGAATCGTTGCAAGTTCAAGACCAGCTAAGCTCAAGGCCAGCCTGAACTACATAGCGAGACCCTGTCTCAAAAAGACAAAAAAAAAAAATCAAAAATAAAGAATAAACAAAGGCTGGGGCTGTCGCTCAGTGTGATGGCCCAGGTGCAATCCCCAGTAACGCCCCTCCAAAAATAAAATAAAAAATATAAAGAGGGGGTCAGGGGCAATACTGCCAAGAGTGGGCAATATTGCCAAGAGTGTGCCTGACCTTCCCTTTTCCTGGCTTCCTGTCACCGTCATTGTTTTGGGTATATCCATCCCACCCAAGGCCTCATTCTGGCTCTAGCATGGTGCCCATTGCTACCCTTCTGGATTAGTAAATTTTCTTTTTGAGGCAGGGTTTTGCTATGTAGTTAGGCTGGCTTTGAACTCACTATGTAGCCCAGGCTGGCCTTGAATTCACAGTGAGTTCAGTGATCCTCCTGCCTCAGCCTCCCGAGTGCTGGGATTACAGGCATGTGCCACCATGCCTGGTTGGATTAGTAAATTGACTACTCATCCATTTGTCCATCCATCCGACAAATATTTGCTGACTAGCTACTATGTGTATGCCCTGTGCTAACCTCAGTGAGGCTATAGATGTGAAGGAGACACAATTGTAAAAAAGCTCACAAGATCCCAGGCAGCCGGACAGGTTAGTGGGCAGCAACACTCCATGGAACAAACCCAATGATAAAGGCAGGGTGTGGGGTCACAGCAGATGAATGTTGGGAAGGATTGGGAAGGTTCCTAAAGGAAGCACTGAGCTCAGACAGGAGTGAGCAGGAGATGGCAAGGAGAAAAGGAAGGAGAGAGCGTTGAGGTGGAGGAAACAGTGTGAGAAAGGCAGGGGGCCAATCTGAGCAGCCAGATGTGGTTCCGTTTGAGAAGAGGGTGCGCATGTGCATGAGGACTGTGGAGGAGTGAAACAGGACTTGCGAGCTGGTTGGGCACTTTGGGTGCCTTGGACGCCATGGTGGGGGCAGGGCTTGATCATGAAGCTTTGGAAGGTTTAGATAGGGCCATGACTCAATCACCTTGGCATTTCTGAAAGATCAATCTGGCTTCTGGGCAGAGGTTAGGCAGTGGGGGACAGGCTCAAATAGATGCTGGAAAACAACTCAAGATGTTACTGCAGTGGGGTGTGCTGGTGCATGCCTGCAAACCCAGCACTCCCGCAAGCTGGGGCAGGAGGACTGCCATTAGTTTGAGGTAAGCTTGGGCTACAGGGAGAGACCCTGTCTCACAAAACTAAAAAACAAGCCAGGCATGGTGGTGCACGCCTATACTCCCAGCCCTCAGGAGGCTGAGGCAGGAGGATTGTTGCTAGTTCAAGGCCAGCCTGGGCTACAAAGTGAGCTCAAGGCCAGCCTGAACTGCATAGCAAGACCCTGTCTCAAAAACAAAACAAAACAACCCCCCCAAAAAACAAACCTAAAAAACAAACAGAAAGATGTTATTGCAGCTGGGTGTGATGATACTTGCCTGCAAGCCCAGTACTCTTGGAAGTTGAGGCAGGACTGCAAGCTTGAGCCCAGACTGGTTGACTTAACAACTTAGTGAGACCCTGCCTCAGAATAAAAAAGAATCTAGGGACATAACTCAGTGTGAAGATCCTGGGTGCAATTTCCAGTAGCTCAAAACAAAAAACAAAGAAACAAAAATTATTACAGTAGTTCAGGCAAGACATGATCAGGGTTTTGTTTGTCTTTTGAGACAGGGACTCACTATGTAGCCCAGATTGGCCTCAAACTCAAGGCAATCCTCCGGCCTCGGCTTCCCGAGTGCTGGGATTTCAGGCATGCACCACCACACCCAGCTGATGATGGTGTTTTAGACCAAAACAGTAGCAGTAGAGTTGGAGAAGTGCTGTATTTTGTAGATAGAGCAAACAGAACTTAGCAATGAAATGTGGAAAATGAGGGGCTGGGGATTTAGCTCAGCGGCACAGCACCTGCCTGGCAAGCGCAATGTCATGAGTTCGATTCCCGGTACTGGGGGGTGGGGAGAAATGTGAAAAATGAGAGTGAGGCCTTAAAGAGGCCTACCAGGTTCGTTCTTTCTTTCCTTCTTCCTTTCTTCTGGGGTGCCAGGGGTGGAACCCAGCGCCTCTCATGCTAGGCAAGTGCTCTGCCCCTGAGCCATATCCCAGCCCCATCTCTCTGTCTCTGACTTGGACACCTGAGGCTTTGGTGGCGCTGATCATGGGGACAGGGCCAAGGAGGATGGGAAGGAAGGGAGATGAGTTCAGTGCAGTGCTGGGTTTGAGCTTCCACAACAGCACAGCCCAAATCTCAGGAGTGAGGCTGAGGCTAGAGAAGGAGTTGTGAGGTCTTAAGGGGGGAGGGGAGAACAGAAGGAAAATGGAAACGAAGCTTTTGTAAATAAGGAGGGGAAGAGGGGCTGAAGGGAAGGGAGGGGAATGGGAAGAAAGCAGCAGCAAGATATATCATGTACAGGTAGAGATTTTCTATGATGAATGTGATCATTATGCATATCTAAATTGTACCAATAAAATTGTTTTTTAAAAAAGTGGACGAGGGTCAGGTGTGGTGGTGCACACCTGTAACCCCAGCATTTGGGAGGCTGAGGTAGGAGGATTGCTTCAAGTTCGAGGCCTGGCCTCTTACTTTTGTGTGTGTGTGTGTGTGTGGTCTTTTTGAGACAGGGTCTCGCTATGCAGTTCAGGCTGGCCTTGAGCTCATTTTGTAGCCCAGGCTAGTCTCAAACTCAAAACGATCCTCCTGCCTCAGCCTCCCGAGTGCTGGGATTACAGGAGTGTGCCATCACGCCTGGCTTACTTTTTATTTTTGAGACAAGGCCTGGCCAAGCTGCTAAACTGCCCAGGCTGGGCTCCAAATTGTGATCTTCCTGCCACTGCCTCCAAGATTGCTGGGATTACAGGTGTAGGCCACCCCGCCTGGTTTGGAAAGCAGGATTAAAAGGACTGCATCAAAGGCTATGCATCTTAGGACAAAGATCCTTCAGCGAATCTTAATTCTTAGCTCCTTCCTTTCTTTCCAGCCATTCTCAGCATCCTAGGATTGTCCTGCCCATGGGCCAGGCCTGCTGCCATTCTTGGGAAAGTGCTCCCCCTGCTGGCAGAGTTGGAGATGACTCCCAGTCAGGACACCATCCCAGCCCTTTCTTCGTGCTGCCTTCCCTGGGAGGGAGCTCTCTCACCGCAAAAGAGGCAATTCAAACCTCAGTCCCAGTGCCCTTCTCCCCTCTCCAGAGCCTTTATATATCTCACAAGAATGCTGTTTGGGCATGGTGGCACACACCTGCAATCTCAGCACTCTGAAAGGCTGAGGCAGGAGGATCATAATTTCCAGCTCAACCTGGGCAATTTTGCAATTTAGTAAGACTCGGTCTCAAAATAAAAAAAAAATAAAACTAAAAGGGGCTGGGTATGTAGCTCCGTGTGAAGGCTCTAGGTTCAGTCCCCAGTGCCCTCCCCCTCGAATGCTAGCTAGAAACAGAGAGGGCACATTTGGTATCTGGGTGCACAAATTAAATCCCTGCTGCTTCCAAATCACTCTTCTTCTTCTCCTCCTCCTTCTTTTTTTTTTTTTTTTTTTTTTTGTCTTTTTCTGCTGGGGGAAGTAAAGGCTGCAGTGTTCTACACAGTGAGTCAACTACACTAATCCTTTTTCCTGTGTCTTTTTTGAGACAGGGTCTCCTATGCAGTCCAGGCTGGCCTCGAACTCGAAGCAATCCTCCTGCCTCAGCCTCCCCCCACCAATGCTGGGATTATAGGGATGTGTCATGGGTTTCCACTGAGAATTTATTTGTCCAGCCTAGGGACCAGGCCACCTGGCCTCTTTCCTCCTCGTATGCAAAGAAGCCGTGAACTAGGCTGGAAAGAGTACTGGATTTGGAGTCAGGGCAATTAAGTTTGAGTCCTGTTTCTACCACTCATTCAGGATGTGACCTTGGACTGGTCACTTTCTTCTTTTTGGTGGCAGATTCCTCACTGTGGCATTGGACTGGATTCTAAAACTGTTCCAACTGAGGCATTCTACGGTGTGCTCCTATTATCGGTACCTTACTTTTCTCAATTCTTTGTATACATCCAGTTCTCTCCTGCCTCAGGGCCTTTGATCATGCTCCTCCCTTGGCTTGAAATGCTCTTCCCTTCTCTTTTTGTTTTGTTAAATCATGCTTGCCCTTCAGCTCTCAGCTCAGTGCCATTTCCTGAAAGAAACCCTTCCCAGCTCCTCTGAACTGGATCAGGACCTGCAGCGTATGCCCTCATAACTTCCTGCAGTTTTGTTTCTGAGCCTTCATCATGTTTGTATGTCTCTTCTTGTCTGAGTACTGTCTCAAGTCCCTCTTTTCCATCAAACTTTTATTTTACAGGAAAAGCTTTAATTAGAAAATAAGAGATCCCAGCACTGGGGAGCCTGAGACACAAGGATCGCCCTGAGTTTGAGACCAGCTTGGGGTTACATAGTGGGTTCAAGCCCAGCCTGAACTACACAGCAAGACCTTGTCTTAAAAAAAAAAATTTAGGAGGCTGAGGCAGGAGGATCACCACAAGTTCAAGGCCAGCCTGGGCTATATAGTGATTCCAAGGCCAGTCTGAACTACATAGCGAGACCCTGTCTCAAAAAGAGACAGAGAGAGAGAGAGAGACTTGAGGAGCTGACAAAGATCAGGCCACCCCTTAACTAAGGAGAGTAAGGAAAATAAGAAAGGGTTCCATCTTAAACAGCTGGAGGGGGCACACTCTGCTGAAGGGGGTCAGGTCACCCCCTTCCCACGAAACTTGCAACTTCTTGGTAGACACAGTAAGCACCTATCTTGCCCGCCCTTCTACCCAGCATCCAGATCCTTGCCTGCCCATTTTGTAAAGGGTCAACATACACTCACTGAATAAATGAGTAAATAAATGGATGAATGAAACCATTTCTTCTATTAGCGGCTTCAGTTTTTTTCAATGCTGGGGATCAAACCTAAGGCCTCACACACACTAGGTAAACTGCTGTCTTAAACCCCAACTTACAAACGAGTTCCATTCCAGGAGAATGTTTGTAAATCGGATTCATTCTTAAGTCCGACAAGATGAGTCTTACACTGTATCTTTGCTTTAGTTTCCATGGTTACTGCTTTACACTTCCTAGCAGTCCCCTCCACATCACCGCCGCTTTTCCTCTTGCTTCCGGACATCCTGGGCTGACTTCTGGACATCCCAGGACAGTCCTACTGTACACTGAGCACACAGCGGCACAGCTGTCACAGTGTCCGGCGGACACGCGCGCTCCTTCCGCGATCTGTCCGCATGCACAAGTGTTTGTCATGCAAGGTCCATTCCTAGCTGTGAGAGTTTTGCAAGTCGGGGACTCACTGTACCTCAGAGCTATGCCCTGGCTCACTCTCTTCTCCTCAGCACTATTCGGTTAGGTTTAGGAAGCAGGTGACAGGCTGGGACTGCACCTCAGGGGTAGAGACTGGCTAGCACACACAGGGTCTTGGGTTCAATCCCCAGCATGGGTGATTGCTTGGATTTGCAAACCAGCTTTACCACTCACGAGTTGTGTAAACGCAAGTAAACTGTTCCATCTTTCTGTGCCTCAGTTTTCTCTGTAAAGAGGGGATAATAACATATACTACCTAACAAGGTCGGGGTGTGGGTTTGAAGACAGCGTATTCAAGGTGTGCACAGCAAGGCCTGGCACTTAGGTGTTACATAAGCGAGAGCTTTTGTCATTAATCTGTGTCATCCAACTCCCCACGCACGCTTGCTGAACCCCCACTAAGCCTCATTATCTTATTTCCCGTCTATGAGTGTGGGTGACTCAGGGTAATTTACAGAACAGGTCAAAAACTTTTGTTTGTAAAAATTTCTATTATGGAAATTTTTATTATGGGAGCTGTAAGAGGATAATGAACCTCTGTAACAAGCTTCAGCAATCATCAACATTTGGCCAATTTTTGTTCATCTACACCCCCTCTTTTCTCTCTCTACAAGAATATTTTAATATAAGTCCCAGATGGCATATCATTTTGTCTGAAAATAGTCCAAGATGTATCTCTAACAAATAAGGACTTACCTCCCCATGATACCATTATTGCCCTTTAAAATTAACAATAATTATGGAGGATTTTAAAAACCTCATTCCTGCTGGGCATGGTGGCACACACCTGTAATCCCAGCACTCGGGAGGCTGAGGCAGGAAGATTGTCGCAAGTTTGAGACCAGCCTGGGCTACAAAGTGAGCTTGAGGCCGGCTTGAACTGCATAGTGAGACCCGGTCTCAAAAAGACAAACAAACCAAAAAACCATTCCTTTGAGAGATGCAGGGAGAACTGGAACCCTGGATTCATGGCAGATGTGAAGCGAGGAGCTGCCAGGAGCGTGCGTGTGTAAAGTGCTTTGAACAGGGCCAAGTGGTTCGGTGGACAAGTGGGACACAACATATAGTAAGTATTACTTTGTTTCTCTTGCATTCTGTCCTTTTACCCACTCCAACCGCCCCCAACCCCTTTCTTGTTCCAGGCTGTGGGCATGGGTGGCCATTACAAAGAAGCCTGCGGAGCCTGGGCTGGCGAGTTTCTTGGGTCACTGGAGCCCTAGGTTGGAAGCTGGGACTCAGGGGAGTACCGACAAAGACCCAAAGGACACAGCACAGCTGTGGACATAGCTCAGGGGTACAGAAAGTGCAAGGCCCTGGGTTCAATCCCCAGCACCTCAGAAACAAAACAAAAGCAGCAACCTAGGAGGTGTGGAGCCAGGGGTGGGGTGGCTGAGGAGCCCTTCGGCTGTGCGACTGTGGGCCGAGTGAATACAGTAGCCAAACATGGCAAACGAGTCAGTTCTTCATTCCCACTCAGCAGCGCCCCCCGGGGTCACTGCCAGCCCAGAAGCATACCCAGGCCCTCCTGTGTGCTAGGCAAAGGCTCTACCACTGAGCACCGCCCCGCCCTAGTGTTTCACCATGAATTCTGAGAGAAGGTCTTACTGAGTTGCTCAAACTTGAAATCCTCCTGCCTCAGCCTCTGGAGTAACTGAGATTACAGGTGTGCACCACGAGGCCCCGGCCCTTGAACTTTTCTTTGTAATTCATGAAGGGGCAGCTGCCTACGACAGGGGCTTGCCGGGTGTCTTTGCTTCATTTTGAGTTCTCCAGGGTTATGGCCGGTGGTGGATCTGGAACCAGCACACAGCTAAAAGGGTCTTCTGAGGGTTTCAGAGGAAGCACTTTTCAGTAGAGGTCTCCCCAAGCCTCTTCTGCCCCTACTCGTCTTTGGGTGCCTGGGACACCTGCGCTCCCCGCACCCATCTTAGTCCTTTTGTGCTGCTACACAAAATGCCACAGACTGGCTACTTCCGAAGCAAGAGAAATCTCTTTCACAGTCGAGGGTGGAAGGCCGAGATTAGGAGGCCAGCAGAACTGGTGTCTGGGGAGGCAGCCTAGTTGGTGGCACCCCTCAGTGGGTAAGGGATGCTGCATGCTTACACGGCAGAAGCGCAGAAAGTAGGGCCTAAACTAGTTGCCTGAAGACTTTCCCTAAGGCATAAAGCCATTCATGAGGGTGGAGCCCTCAAACTTTTAGCCCTTTCCAGAAGGCCCACTTCCTGGTAACCGCCACCTGGGGGTGGTCAGCAAGGTAAACAAGTCCCCTCCCACCCGGCTTGTACCTCCTCCTCCTCATTTCCCATGCCTCCCTTGTTTTCAGCAGTTAGCAGTGTGACCCAGTGAAAGAGCACAGATTTGGGCCCCCACTGGCTTAGTATTCAATTCTGGCTCAGCACTTCCATGTCGAGGAACCTTAGGCAAAGTCACTTTATCTTGCTGAGCCTCAGTTTCCACGTCAGAAAACTGGGAACAAGAGGAGCACATGAAAGGGCTCTTAACACCATAGCCATACAAACCGGGACAATAGCACATCTTGTCTAAGATTCCCCCCGCATCTTTTTCTTTAGTAGTACTGGGATTGAGCCCAGTGCCTTTGCATTGAGCTACATCCCCAGCCTTTTAAATTTTTTGTTTCACTTTCTGTAGACAAGGTCTTGCTCAGTTGCTGAGAATCTTGTGATCTTCCTGCCTCAGTCTCCCACAATGCTGGGACTATTGGTGTGTGCCACCAGGCCCAGTCCCCAGGCCTTTTTTATTTTTGAGACAAGGTCTCACTGTGTAGTTCAGGCTGGGCTTGAACTCACTATGTAGCCCAGGCTGGCCTCAAACTCTTGGTGATCCTCCTGCTTCAGCCTCCGGAGTGTTAGGTAGGATTACAGGCATGAGCCACCACGCCCAGTGAATATTCAAATATCGCATATTTTTTTGTTTGTTTATTTGTGTTTTTCTTCTGGTGCCAGGAATCGAACTCACGACCTTGCGCTTGCCAGCCAGGCGCTGTGCCGCTGAGCTAAATCCCCAGCCCCTCAAATATTGCATATTAGTGCTTTCAAGAATAAGGTTCATATTCTTCATATGAACAAGCGTAATTGTTGTGGGCTCACAATTTCCTACTTAGCATTACCCAAGTAAGCCACTTGGAGTCACTCATATTTCCCTAAGCCCTGAATTTAGGGGAAAAGAACTGAACTTTACACGTTGAAATAGTATGTGTATTTTACAATTTTAAAACATTTTTAAATGCTCATCTCCACATGATCACATGCCCCACTATGCCATCTGGTGAACGCTTAGTCATTTTTCAGAGCAAAATGCTTCCACCTTGGGTAAGTTCTCTTTCCATGCCTGATTTTTTTTGTTGTTGTTTTTTGGATTGAACCCGGGGCCTGCGCACTGAGCTATATCTCCCCTCCCAGCCCCCCTTTTTTGTTTTGTTTCTTGCGATAGGGCCTCGCTATGTAGTTCAGACTGGCCTGGAACTCATTACTTAGCCCAGGCTGGACTTGAACTGGCAGCAATCCTCCTGCCTCAGCCTCCCGAGTGCTGGGATTACAGGCATGCTCCACCACACTCGGCTTTTTTTTTGAGACGGTCTCGCTATGTAGTTTAGGCTGGTCTTGAACTCACTATGTAGCCCAGGCTGGCCTCAAACTCGGGCGACCCTCCTGTCTCAGCCTCTGGAGCGCTGGGATTACTTACACCCGTGCGCCCCCACGCCCCGCCTCCCATACCTTTTTAAATTTTTTTGTCTTTTTGAGACAGGGTCTCGCTATGCAGTTCAGGCTGACCTGGAGCTCACTTTGTAGCCCAGGTTGGCCTCGAACTCGCAACGATCCTCCTGCCTCAGCCTCCCGAGTACTGGGACTACAGGTGTGCGCCACCACGCCTGGCCCTTTTTAAATTTTTGAGATAGGGTTTCTTAAATCGCTAAACTGCTCGGGCTGGGTTCGAATTTTTGATTCTCCTGCATGAGCCTCTCAGTGTGCTGAGATTACAGGCGTGTGTCCCCTGCCTAGCTGGCATTGTTCTTGCCAGCCCTTCCTGCGAGTTTAAATGGCAGGGACTCCACCAAGAGGTCTGAATGTGAAGCCGTGCGGGGCGCAGGGGAGGGGGCGGTGAAGTCTCCAGGGGCAACTCCAATGTCTTACAAGATTTACAACACATCAGGCAGTCTCCTCCATTCACAGGATAGCACGGGCACGCACAGACGCACTCTCACACTCAGCAATTCGCCGAAGCATTTGAGGTGCATTAAAATACAAAAGGTCACACGATGACGCAGTACACTCCGCGCCGCTGGAGGGCTCCCGATTGCCCCTCGGCGTCAGTGCGCGTAGGCGCAGGCGCACGACCTTCATGGGCGGGGCTTTGTGTGCTACGGGGCTGCAGATTGGCTGGTTTCGAGGCTAACGGTTGGCCCTGACTCCGCGCTTGCGCTTGATTCTGCGCGGGTCAGGAGCGAGCGAAATTCGAGCTCCTGCCGAGGTACCGGGAATCGAAACCGAGGGTCATGGAGACGTACCGAGGTTTGTCGGAAGCTGAGACCTTGAACACAGAGCAGGCTGCTCGTTATATGAGGTATGCTTGGGCCGCTCAGCGGGTCTAGGTCGCAGACTGGCGCAGGGTGGGGATGGGTTGGCCCTCAGACCCTCCCAGGGCTCAAAACTACTGAAGCAGAGTTTCGTGAGGCGCGCGCCGGCACCCTCGAAGTAGGGCCAGAGATCAGCTCTGGACTCGGAGCAGGTTTCTAACTGGGGGGACCCTGTGGCACCGCCCCCCTTTTTGCCACATAATCCACCATATGAGTTTTTTTGAAAGCCAGAACTTCAACTTGAGGGCCGGGCGTGGTGGCACACGCGTGGTGGCACACTCGGCAGGCTGAGGCAGGAGGATCTCTGCGAGTTCGAGACCGTCCTGGGCTGCAAAGTGAGCTCAAGGCCAACCTGAACTATGCATAGTGAGACCCTGCCTCAGAAACAAACAGACAAACAAACAAAAAAACCCTTCAATTTGAGTCTTTCTAACCTACCAAGCCCCAGGCATAGTTGGTACAGAGATGAATAAAAGGTACCTTTGGCCATCAAATTGCATATAATCGAGATTGAAATGCAAATGAACCTACGAACCAATACAGTACTTCTACGCTGTGTGCTAATTCTTGTAAGCTGTTTAATGTCCTGGGTGGAGAATGGCCGACTATATTTGTTTGTGGTTTGTGCACAGGGTCTCTCTGTGTAGTTCAGGCTGGACTCAAATTTGGAGAGATCCTCCAGCCTCCGCCTCGAATGGCCAACTATAAAAGTCTCTGAGCTAAGGGAAGACCTCCCCAGAGGGAAGGAGACATTTGAGCTGTGTGTTCAGAACCGAATAAGCATTCATCAGATGGTTGGGTGGGGTGCTGGGTGGTGTGGAAATGAGGGTTTTTTTTTTTTTTATTAAGGGTAGAAAAATTTATTGGGGAAGAGGAATGAGCATTTTTTTTTTTTTTCCGCGAGAATCGTACTCACGACCTTGCACTTGCCGGGCAGGCGCTGGGCTGCTGAGCTAAATCCCCAGCCGCACATTTTCACTTTAAAAAAAATTTGTAGTAAGATATACATAGGATTTACGTTAACAATTTCAGTGGTATTTATTGTTGTGAAACTCTTAACTTTGCAAAACTAAAACTACAGGATAAACAACTAACTCTCCATTTCCCCCTTCTCCAGCCTCAGCAACCATCATTCTTCTGTATGTCTATGAATTTGACTGCATTAAAACCTTATTTAAGCTGAATCATACTGTATTTGTCACTGTCTGGCTTATTTCACTTAGTGCAGTGTCGTCAGGGTTCATCTGCTTTGTATCCTGTTGCAAGGATCCTTTTTAAGGCTTAGTAATATTCCATTGTATGTGCATTCATAGATTTATTTATCTGTTGATGGGCACTTTTTTGTGTGATACCAAGGATTGAACCCAGCATTTTCACACCGAGCAATATCCCTAACGCCCCCTCCTTTTTTTTTTTTTTTTTTTTTTTTTTTTTTTTGGTTTAGGGTCTCACTATGCAGTTCAGGCTGGCCTTGAGCTCACTTTGTAGCCCAGGCTGGTCTTGAACTTGCAACGATCCTCCTATGCAA